TAAAAATGCACAGGCTATTTGCCATATTTCACTATCATAATATAATTCATAATAATAATAATAATAAAAGATACAACGCGTGATGTTTTAAAATGAGTACATTTACACGGGTACACTGCAAAAAATGCTTTTCTTGCTTAGATTTTTTGTCTTGTTTCTAGTCTAAATATCTAAAATTTCTTATATCAAGAAGCATTTTTTAGACAAGCAAAACATATTGCCTTGTTTTGAGAAATAATATGCCAATATTAAGTGAGTTTTTCCTTAAAACAAGCAAAATAATCTGCCAATGGGGTCAGCAAAATAATCTTGTTTTTTCTTTTGACGTAAGATTATTTTGCTGACCCCATTGGCAGATTATTTTGCTTGTTTTAAGGAAAAACTCACTTAATATTGGCATAATATTTCTCAAAACAAGGCAATATGTTTTGCTTGTTTATAAAATTCTTCTTGATTTAGGAACTTTTAGATATTTGGACTAGAAACAAGACAAAAAATCTAAGTAAGAAAAGCATTTTTTGCAGTGTAATGGGCACATCTTAACAAATTAGGTTCCGAGTTAAAAAACCTATTTGGTATACAGTTAAATTGGAAGCGAATACACATAAATTAGGGAAGTTTAAATAGAAAAACAAGTGAGTATACCGAGGTTATACGCAATTATTGATCCTCAGAAGAGGTTATACAAAAAAAGCTCGTGGAAAAAAGTAAGCATACTGAGTATACGTGCGTATAGCATGGACTACACCACTGCTATGTATGTATAAATCAGCACATGATGTAAAACAGATTAAAAATGTGCATAATATATTGTATAGAAATGGTGCAGTGGGCTCTGTTGGAGCAAAGATAATTTGTCTCTGTTATTCAAATATTTTTGAAATTGTTATTTTATTGACCAAAATGTAAATAAAAAGATCTGGAAAAAAAAAAAAACATCCTCATCTCTCTTCACACTGTTGTTCAGGCTGATTCACATGCAAACAGACGGAAACTGCCGTTGCTCCTTTTTTCCGTCTTTATTTTTATATCCGAGAGGTAAAGAATTTGAGAAAGTTCCTTTGAACTAAAGCCGGAGCCCAGATAAATGGAGCCAACTAAAGAGCGCGGCTAATGCAGGGTGTGATTTCTGGAGTCTGGATGAAAGCACACACTCATTTGTTCTCGTCCTCTTTTCTGTGACTGCTGTTACTCTGAAAGGTTACGGCTTTACTCGCTGCTTCTCCTCCAACCACTAAGCCTCAGAGTGGGAGCAGATGAGGACGTGCAGGATCGGATAAGAGGAATATTTCAGCCTTTTAACCCTAATTCAATATGCATTCTGTCACTTTTGTATGAAGAACGACAAAATAGAATAAAAAGAAATGGTCAAAATTCACGAAATAGTCGTAACTTTAAATTGTAGCTGATTGGCTTTAAAGTTACAGCTTTTGTTGTTAATTTATAAAACATTTAGAGCAGGGCCGGCCCTGTACATTTAGGGGCTCTAAGCAGAATAGTTTTGGGGTCCTACCTTGCTCTAAATCAGGGGTCTCAAACTCAATTTACCTGGGGGCCGCAGGAGGCAAAGTCTGGGTGAGGCTGGGCCGCATAAGGGATTTCACAAAAAAAAAGTCCTCAAATGTCATTATTAACAGTTTTAATTATTTCTTCTGAACATAAAGTGTCCTGAACATTAATAGAACATTGAGTGAAGATTATGAACAGTTCTTCTGAACATGGCATCTTTTGCCTACTCCTTGCTGCCAGAGACTTGACAGCGCTTCTTCTCACAAATCTGAACCACATTTGGCTTTAGAGCGGAAGCAGTTGAGACCCTCAGTATGGCTTGAAGATGATCATCATTAAGTCTAGACCTGTACTTTGACTTATTGTACTTTGTTCAAGGTGGAGAATAACTTCTCACACAGAAAAAAGTGGGGGAACTCACTCAAAACTTCCATTCCCTCACCTAAAAAAAGGCGTATATATGTATAAATAAAACACCCCCACCCCACTCCAGTCACATCAGTCTGTACCAGTCTGTATCTACCTATAATATATGCAGGCTGTAGCTAGGTAGCTTAGTGGCAGGCAGGGGCAGGAACAGCTGACCTTGGTTCTGGCCGGCGCGAGTTCCCTCCTACTTCCCGCCCGTCACAGCGTCTAACAAAGGGGCGAGGTGCGTGGTGACGTCACCGGCATCCCTGCCCCTTTGTTTACACGGCGGGCGGGGAATGCCAGTGACCGCTGTGCACGGATAGAATCAGCAGAGCGGGGAGCGCTCTCTCTCCCCGCTCCGCTGATTCTCTCAATGTACAGCGGTCGGCGCGGGCCACAAAATATTGCACTGAGGGCCGCAAATGGCCCGCGGGCCGCGAGTTTGAGACCCCTGCTCTAAATAGTGCAAACCGCCCTACGGTGATTTTATTGCTTATTAAACACAATCAATGAAACAAAAAAGGAAAGCCTAATTTCTTCCACTTAATAACTCTCTGACTGATTGGACATTTATAGCAGTATTGTTTTTGGCAGCTTCTAAAATGAAGAATTAAAAAAACAAAGGGACCAGTGATTCCTGCTTTGCATTCAACATATTTAAAAACATATTTAATTAATTTAGCAAACATAAAATAAAGATTTTATAAAAGATTCCACGTTTAGTTTTATTGTTTTAATAAATTCCAAAAGGGCGACGCAGTGGCGCAGTAGATAGTGCTGTCGCTTCACAGCAAGACGGTCGCTGGTTCGATTCTCGGCTCGGTCAGTTGGCGTATCTGTGTGGAGTTTGCATGTTCTCCCTGCATTCAAGTGGGTTTCCTCCGGGTGCTCCGGTTTCCCCCACAGTCCAAAGACATGTTGTACAGTTGAATTGGGTAGGCTACTTCCCCTACTTCCTGGTGTGATAGATTTTCCCTCCAGTTGAATGCAAGTAAAACAAAAGATATGGTGATAGATTACAGGAAGGCTTCTCCAACCCCGAACATTACTAATATTAAAGGCTTGGACATTGAAATTGTTGACACGCATAAATAGCTAGGGGTCGTTATTGATAATATGTTGACATTTCAACCTAACACCCATGCTGTATATAAAAAAGTCCAACAAAGACTGTTTTTTCTGAGGAAACTTAGATCATTTCAGGTCTATACCTCTATGATGACGCTGTTTTATAAACAACGAATCTGTTTTATCTTTTTGCATTGTAGCTTGGTACGGCAATCTGAGTGTGTCAAGCAAGAACAGGTTGAGCAGCCTGGTGAAGGTGGCAGGCAAGATCATTGGTTTTAATCAGACTGGTCTAATGGTAATCTATGAAACTATGTTCTAAGGAGAGCTCAGGGTATCCTATGCACCCCGGATCACCCACTGTACTCTGTATTTCAGCTGTTGCCATCAGGACGTCGTTTTAGGATTCCTATTTGCAGGACAAATAGAACCAGAAATTCTTTTATAATGGTGGCCATTAGGTCATTAAATGAGTCCAGGGGGGAGGGGGATGTTTCAATATACTGATGTATGGATGTTGTGTAGTAATATTTTTTAATGTGTACATGGAACTTTTGCAACCCAAGCTCATTCTGGAAACGTAGCCCCGCGGACGTTTCTGGAGACCGCGATTTAGGTGGCCGGAGGTACGTAAGGCCGCGTTTGGTTTATTTCGAGCAAACGCTACGGGGCGGTGTGGCGCCGCTCCGCCCCTCCTCTTCGCGCTCGTCGGCCGACGGCTCGCCTCCGAGTGGAGGGCTTTCCCGACGCAATCAGTTTGTCCGCCTAGCTCACAGCGTTGCGTCGGCGGAGCGGAGGCCCCGGAGGAGGAGGAGCCGGAGCCAGCCGCGGTGGATGACGACCGGGATCGAGTCCGGGGAACGGCAGGTTTCCGGAAAACAGGTAAGACGAAAAACGGAATCCGGAAAATAAGGGCGAGAACGCGGCGGGATTCGAAAACGCGGTCGAAATCGAAGACGAGGGCTTTTGATTTTTGATTTTTATTTTTTTCGATCCGGCGGCTTTTCGCGCGAGAACGGCGCGGGCGCGAACAGCGCACAGCGGCCTCTCGCGGATCCGCGAAAACAAAAAAACGCTCGAATACGTACCTCCCGGGACGTAAATCGCGGTCCGCAGAAACGTCCGCGGGGCTACGTTTCCACAATGAGCCCGGGTTGAACTTTCGCCTGTGTTATGGTACCTTGTTGCAATTTTAGTTTCCCTAACGGGATAATAAAGCTGAGTCTGAGTCTAAATTGTCCGTAGTGTATGTGTGTGAATGAGTGTGTATGAATGTTTCCCAGAGATGGGTTGCAGCTGGAAGGGCATCCGCTGGTTCTTTAAAATGGTGGCTGCGTGAAATAAGCCGCTTAGTTCGCTTATAGGGAGGGCCGGCTATGATTTAGAATAAAAAAATTTCTTAATTCTTTTTAAAAAATGTATTTATTTATAACATTAACTTATTTATTCAGTGTTTGAGGGATATTTGGTGTATTCTGACCTACAGGATCATCTGATTAATTATTTCAGAGGTTACTGTAGGTCAAACTATGCATCTAATTTGACATTACTTTCAGGCTGCATGTAGAAACAAACACCTATTTTAGGAGAAAACTGTCTTATAAACATATTTGGTGTTTATCTGTGCTCTAGATCTGCCGGTTTCAGTCTGTTGAATCAAGTACTGAAAAGAAAAGAGTACTGGGAAACACCTATACACACTCATATTCACACACACACTCATATAGTACAGCCAATTCAGTCTAATCAATTACTCTATAGCGCATGTGTTTGGACTGTGAGGAAACCTGGAGGAAACCCACACCAACACAGGGAGAACATGCAAACTCCACACAGAAATTTCAACTGGCTGGCACTCAAACCAGCGCCCTTCTTGCTGTAAGGCGACAGTGCTAACAACTGAGCCACAATGGAAAACTCTTAACAAATGTTGACTTACTGCCGCAGGTTCGGTTGTATTTGTGGTTCTCTTGCGCGTGTCCCTTCAGCCGGCAGTGGAAGCGGTGCTGCCAGAACTCGGGGAACCAGGGGTTGCGCATGTTGTTTTCAGGACGCAGCTTCAGGTAATAATCATCAAACCACTTCACATCTGCAGACTGCAGCTTTATGGTGATCCCGCCAGCCGCCTCGCGCACATAACCATCTGTGACATCATAGCGGTCCGCCCATCCGTCACTGCAAACGAGAGCACTCATTAGTGGGTGAAAAACTGCAGCATGTTACAATTGACACAACACTAAGATATATTTTATTAACTCCATATATACTACTATACTACTATAATAAACTATTACAATATAATAGATTTGTCCCCAGTATTGGGTTGTGTCTGGAAGGATATCTGCTGCGTAACACATACATGAGGGAAATAAGTATTGAACATGCCACCATTTTTCTCAGAAGTTATATTTTGTCAATCAACCAGCATAGGTGGAGCTTTAAGGCGGAAGAGTTTGTTGTTGACAACTACCGGTAGCGCTACCACTTTTTCAAGGCGTTCAGATTTGCATGCACTATTCCACGTCGTATCCTTAAAGCTCCACCTATGCTGGTTGATTGACACCTCATTTGCATTTGATTTATCATTTGCGATGTCAGTTTGAGGATTTGATTCACCATTTGCGATGTCAGTTTGAGCATTTGATTCACCATTTGCGGAGTCGTTTAAGGATTTGATTCACCATTTGCGATGTCAGTTTGAGCATTTGATTCACCATTTGCGGAGTCGTTTAAGGATTTGATTCACCATTTGCAGAGTTGTTTGAGCATTTGATTCACCATTTGCGATGTCAGTATGAGGATTTGATTTATCATTTGAGGAGTCGGTTTGAGGATTTGATTCACCATTTGCAGAGTCAGTTTGAGCATTTTATTTATCATTTGAGGAGTCAGTTTGAGGATTTGATTTATCATTTGCAGAGTCAGTTTGAGGATTTGATTTATCATTTGCAATGTCGGTTTGAGCATTTGATTTATAGTTTGAGCATTTGATTTATTATTTGATCTTTTAAGCATTTGAATTTTTATTTTCATTTTGTTAGGAAAAAACTTCCATACTTTTGACCAGGAAACTCACAGGTGTAATAAGGTTGATTAAAACAATCAAAATTAAACGAAGGAGATGATCATCCCTTGTATATGTTCAAATGCATAGTGTGGAGGATATCATAAGGCCTTGGGGCAATCAGATGTAAAACACAATATTAATGAGTGTTTTAAGTTGCAAATCGGTCAGATTTGACCCGAACACGACAGGAAGGTTAAAGGTGCTGTTGACTTGACATTTTCACTGGATGTTGGTAACAATCAAAGAAATCCATATATGCAAACAAACAAATCTAATCAGTTTACAAATTAAATTAAGGTATGTGTAATGAAGTGAAATGACACAGGGAAAAAGTACTGAACACATGAAGAAAGGGAGGTGTAGTTCGGCAGTGAACGCCCAGACAGTAGCTGAAATCTCAGTAAATCTTCAGCAACCCTCTGCCCTTCCTCAGTGTAAATGAATTTCAGCTGCTTCAGTCCAACATCTACCCTAAATTTCAATTACTAGTGTAATATATGTGTCCTGATAGTGTTTTTAGCATTTACCTGAATGAGCACTGTACTACTGTACGTCAGACAGATCCCACTATTATGTCTTTAGTTTCTTTTTTGTTACTTAATAACCTATTTAAACACATTTTAATCAGTTTTTAATCATTTTTAATTCTTTGTTGTTTCTTTTATTCCTGTTTATGTAAAGCACTTGTGAATTACAATTGTGAATGAAATGTGCTATATAAATAAACTTGTCTTGTCTTACCTATTACTAATAGTTTGTTCATGTTAGTAAATAAATTAAGTAATGGGACAGTATTTTAAAGTGTTAATAGAGGTGAAAAACATCTCTGCTAAACATCATTTGGGAAATATCTGATATAATTAATTCAGGAGAATAACTCTTTTAATTGCTAATTGTCGTCAACTGTAGCTGGAGGCAATCAGACTCCATAATACACACATAACAACAAATAATAACAATAAGAGGAAGAATTTCCATAGTTTTATAAAGATATTTCGGTAACACTTGTCCATTTGTGTATTAGTAGACTGTCTGCTTAATATCTGCTTATACTGCTCCTTCAGCAGACATTAAACTGACTATAACTTTGCATGTGCACGTCAACTTACACTAACCCTAACCCCAACCTAACAGTCTACTTATAATCTACTGAGAATTAGTTGGCATGTAGATGCAAAGTAACAAAATCCAACAAACGGACCATCAAAATAAAGTGTGTGAGACATTTTAACAACTAAACGCATTAAAATAGTTAGAAATCAGCAAGTAATAAGGTTGTTCCATTTCAGGTGTCCCCTCAGAAGGTAGCTCCCTACATAGGCAGCTGACAGCAATGCCATGCTTTCTGTAACAGATTCTCAATTTGAGTATGTGTGTGTGTGTGATTTTTGGCAGAAAGATTGGGTTCGGCTCAGTGAAGCCATCCCGAAACCTGCGCCGACTGATATATTTGGACAAATTAAATAGTTCTGATACAGAGTAGATACAAATTGCCAATTAAACGAACACCCGCACACAACTGACTCATTATCTCGCTGCGCGGCACTGCCAGTTTCCCCGGTAACCATGACAACCTCAGGCATATTTTTAAAAAGACTCATAATTGTTCATGTGTATCAACCACACGCACGGTGTCTTCAGGTTTGCAGATCTGTAGAGATCAAAGTGCACTTAATTATTCAGTTCAGGGCATCCATGCACTGAATCTGATATTAAACAGTGATTATATAGACTAATATTGGCATTCTTGTTAAATATGAGAAAATAAGTCTGTGAAGAAATGTCTTTGTTGTTTAGCCATAGATATAGATATAGATATTTATATCTATAGATATAGATATTTTATTCAAAATAATACTTTTTTTAAAACTCTGGGCTTTTTGAAAACAAACAATCGAACAATGCTATAAATAACAATAAAAAAACAAAATACAATTAAATAATTAAATAATAATAAATATATATTATATATAATAAATAAAAATAAATAAATAAAATTAATTAATAAATTGAATTAAACTAAATACAATAAAAATGTAAAATAATAATACTAAATAAATAAACAAATAAAATTAAATAAATCAATTAGAAAAATAGATACAATAAATAAAGTAATAATTAAATTAAATGCCATTTAAAAAATAAATAAATAAATAAATAAACAAAAATAAATAAAAATTTTAAATAATATTTAAAAATAATTAAATAAATTTTATAAAACTTTAAAACATTAATAAATAAATAAATAAATAATGTAATAAAATTCAAAAATAATAATAAAACTAAATAAAAAATAATAAATAAATACAATTTAAAAATAAATATATAAATACATTTAAAAAAATAAAATACAGAAATAAATTATAAAATAAATAAAAATTATTTTATAAAATTTTTAATAATAATAAAACTAAATAAATAATTAAATTAAATTATAAAATAAATAAATACATTTAAAAATAAATAAATAAATTAATTAAATAAATTACATAAAAAATAAATAAATGAATAGTAGAATAAATTAAATAAATACAATTAGTTAATTAATTAAATAAAAAATAAATAAACAAAACTTTTTATTAATAAATAAATAAATGTTTGGTCACGTTCGATTCATGTTAAATACATTAACAGTCTATACCCAAGCTAAAACTGGAACTAACTAAACAAAAAACTGAAGGTCACACCCAAATAAAAACGGTGGGGAAAATTCATTCATTCATTTTATTTTCGGCTTAGTCCCTTCATTAATCTGGGGTCGCCACAGCGGAATGAACCACCAACTTATCCAGCATATGTTTTACGCAGCGGATGCCCTTCCAGCTGCAACCCATCTCTGGGAAACAACCATACACTCTCATTCACACAATTTTAGGTACAAGTACAGGTGGGAAAAATATTAAGCACAATTTTAATAAACAAGAAAAATCAAGGGACGCTTAAAAATTTAAAATATAAAATATATAAAACATAAAAAACTAATTTAAATATATAAAAATTATATTAAGCTATATGTGCCCTTATTGAAAACCAATAATTGCAAACACAACACATTCTCATAAAACAACAACAACAAACAACAACAACAACAACAACAAAAACACAATAAACATGACCAAACCAGGATTACAACACGACATTGGGTCAAATATAGTCACACCCAACCATTAGGTAACAAAGAGTAATTTAAATTTAATAAAAAAAATTAAAGTAACATTTGAGTTTATTCATATTTAGTCCAATGTTGTGCTAAAAGAACCAGGGAGCGGTAGTTTGTGATAGGATAGCAGTTTTAATGGCAATTTCCCCCTTACATAGAAATAAAATAGAAATTAAAAATAGCATAGAAATAGAAAATTCCCACTTGCAATTTCAACCCCCAATATCTACTTGTAAAAATGGTAATAAAAATAAAATTAATTAATCAATCAAGCAATTCATCAAGCACACCATCACTGTTCAAACCAAAACTATGCCACAGAAGACAACCTAGCATTTTTTAGAGTGTGTAAATCTACATTAATCTGTCCATGTGTTTATTTATCCATCCTATGTGTGCAGAAATAGATCCAGCATCTCTTTAAATCAAAATTCACTCAAATGCAAACTCTGAATATTCACTGAAGAGAGTTGAACATCAAAGTTGAACACAAAGCATCAGCATTGTGCATTGAGCATCAGTTGAACACAAACCCAGAAAGGCAGCACTGGTAAATCTGTTCACATGTTTATACAGACATTCTAGCCAAAATAAAACAAATAAGACTTTCTCCAGAAGAAAAAATATTATCAGACATACTGTGAAAATGTCCTTGCTCTGTTTGTCAGGGTTCTGCCACTCTGGTCTTGTAAATTCTTGTTTTGGTGGCAGAGCTCTGACACTACCCATGTCTGGTCCTGTTTCTGTCTCTGTGTGTGCGCGCTCCGTCGTGGGTGCACGCAGAGTGTGCGCGCTGCTGCTTGATGTGGCCGCGCGCGCTCTTGTACTAGTGTTTGTGTTTGTTCTGTCAGCATCGCGTAGCTTTATTCTCGGCGCCTCCGTCTAGTTGGTTTCAGTTTTGGTTGGCGCTGAGATTAAGCAAGCGCGTTGCTTATGTGTGAGCGCACG